TGATGATTCTCAACTATGTTTCGGGCCTACATTGTTTCCAGAGCTCCAGTCAGACAAAGTTAACCACTTACTTAATCAACAGCTGAACAATCTCAGCACTGCAGATTTAGCAGATCCAAACAGACCTCTGACTTCCTTGCTGTCTGCCCTCCACACTTGCCCCAGTGGGAGAGTTGCTCATCTCAATAGATGGTATCTCACCAGATTCTACTCTCACCTTTGACCCTCATATCCAGTTTATGCACAAGTCCTCGATATAGCATCTATATTCAAGTCAGACTGCTTCTAGGCTTTTTAGATGCTAGATCAGAGGTCAAAATCCATGGGCTATACAATTTGTTCCCCCACTTCCCTTTTTTCCAATAAAATCTTAAATAGAAACACAGACATAGTGCCTGTCAAGTAGCTCAGCAGATTAAAGCACCTGCAAGCAGGCACAGGGGCTGGGGGTTCGATCCCTGGGCCTGTTTTGCCGGCTCCTTCCCTGGGGTCACTGAGACAACAATTGAGACTGGGCGTGGTGGTGCTCACCTGTAATCCCAGCTCTTGGGAGGCTGTAAACAGGCAGATCACTCTGATTCCGACCTAGTAGTGAGACCCTGAACACCCTGTAGACCCTTCCCTAAAACACAAAAAAGAAAGAAGAAAGAAAGAAAGAAAGAAAGAAAGAAAGAAGAAAGAAAGAAAGAAAGAAAGAAAGAAAGAAAGAAAGAAAGAAAGAGAAGCACAGGCATACTCATCCATTTACAGGCTATCTGTGGCTCCTTTTGTGTCACATGGGCAGAGTTGTCTAGTGGTAACAATGACTGCATGGCCCGCAAAGCTTCTAATGTTTGCTCTCTGGCCCTTGGTATAAACTTTGCCTATGACATCAGCAACACCTAATGAGCTACTTCCCACACTGTTGCATTAGTCCATGCTGCTTCCTAAGGCTGATATAGCCCTATACTTCAACAGCTATTAGAACTCCTTTTACTAGATATTTTATTAGATATTCATATACAGCTCATGTTAACAGGAGACCCTCTTCGTGGCTCTGCTCCTTCACTGCTACTTCCCTTGCTGAATAAGTTTGAATGAATGAAAGCCACTAGGATCACTTAAAATGGGACTTCTTAAAAGTAGATTTAAGTCAGTAGGAGTCCCCTCTGATCTTGGTATAAACATTCAAATTTTGTGATTTACTGGTACCTGAAAGTATGTTTTTGTAGTTAAAGGAATAAGCAAAGACATAGGAGCCATATTTAATGGGAGTCTAGTTTACAATATTGAATTTTAAAAGCTCAGAATTACATTTAAAAACTGAAAATTATATGTAGGCACCTGGTTTATTTGAAAACATACAATGGCAAAAATTAACAAAAACTCTTCAAGTCTGAAGACTTCTAAATTTTCTATCTCTGTGGTATGAAATTTAGATAAATATTTCTCAGGCTATAATTTTATGCCTTATATAATTCTGAGTTATAACTACTGTTCTTTGGAATAAAATTTAATTCTATCTCATTGAGGTTATATAATTTAAAAAAATAGGCCCACCTCCAATTAGTGGAAGTAGTACTACAAGAAATTACTCTCTATGTTCCACCTGTCAGCATCAAGAGCTCACCTCAAACTTGAAATTTATGATTGAAATTTAAGATTGAAAAAATAAATTAAGTACATTTTCTCCTTTCCAGCATGAGGTTGTTACTAGAGTGCCATCTTCAGTGCAATGTCCAAAGGAAGTTGTTTTTCCTTTGTGAAAAAAAAAATTAAACATAAGAGATTTGCTGACACTTAAAATGAAACATTACAAAGCAGGAGGGGAATTTATGTTCCTTATGAAACATGATACCTTATACATGACTGGTATATTAGCAGAGTCTAGCATCTAATATATACCATTTACTAATTAAACTGTGACAGATCAATCACTTGAATATTTAGGGCAAAACACATTTGGCAAGTTTGATTTAAATGACTGTATGCACCAGAGTATCCTTAGAGTTAAAAGCATCCTCTCCTATAAGATCATATTGTCTAAACTCACATTCAAATAAATTTTCTTGAGTAACATCCATCTTTCTTGTCAGAATGATTCTCACCTTGGACAGTTTCCTGGATAAATAAGCCTGTATTTCGTATCTAGTTCATTTCAGTTATAAGCTGCTCTAAAAAATGTACAGAAGATGGCCTTATGCTACAAGACAAGTTCTCCCTGTGTCCCCACTCACAGATCCTCGTTTTTCTCTCTGCATCTTCCAAATGGGGCTGTGTAACAGAAATAAAATCATCTTGCATGTCAGAAGAATCAAATCCTAGAACAAAGTTGTTGTAATATATGTGACTGTAGTTTATCCTTTTTCCTCTCTACTTCTAGTGACCCTTTGAAAAGCAAACCTACCAAGACCAACTGAAATTTAATAAGTGAATATTCTCTATCTTCCTGTGTAAGTCAATCAACACTGAACATCACTATTCTCCAATAGATATGGGCATTATCACGATTTGATGATTAAAATGGTATAAAAACCTTGTAGCTGGGGATATTAGCTCAGCAGCACAAGAACCTGCCCAGTGCAGTCCAAATCCTCTAAAGTCAGAAGATCACAAAAGAAACTGGCTTCCACTAATGTGTTTTTACTGAGATGACCAGCAGAAATTGTATACGTACTTACAATTACTTATGCAAGCTTGTGATCATATATTCCGCAGTGCAACACAGATTAGGCAAGCAAGAAGACCAAATAGCAAGTGGAAATGCTGCTTCTCAGCTCAGCTGTTTCTTTTATAATGCACACATAGAAGCCCATGAAAACCAAACAGGTTCAAAGGGAGTTGTTTGACCCCACTGCAATTTTAATAACTTGTCTACATTTTGGGGTTTTTTAAAGCCCTCTTTTCTTAGGGACACACTCATTCTCCCAACCCTAATGGCTTAAGCATTTTCTGATGTCCATTTCTGTGTAACTGCTGATTTGCATGTAGAGAAAATGCTTTGTGAATTTTCATGGTGAGAATTGATATAGCAGCACTTCAGCAGCTGTGCCAAATCTGAGCAAATGAATATTTTCTGAAGTATAATGCAAGGAGAAAATAACAGCCACATTTTGGATAATACATGGCAAACCTGACCAGCATGTCAGGAATAATATACTTGTGCAGTTACTGCAAGGATTCGATTGAAAACTGATTTCTTCGGGTCTAGCTCATGAGCACTGAACTCTAATTGCAGTATGAGAAAATCTAGAACACAAGAAATAGCTTTCCAAAGTTGACTTTTGATATCTCACTCTATCTTCTTATAATTACTTTTATGTCAGAAGGACTTCCTTTTAAGTCTGTCGCTTAGCTCACTAACTTTTTATATTTCTACAAGTCACAGAAGGAAATAGGCAGAGAAATCATGATGTTTCTTTCTATAAATAACAGTTTCCAGGATAGAGAGTCGTTTCCACTTCTGAAGCAGAGTAATGCATAACATACCTGGTTGTTTCTGTAGGCTGGAGGGTAACTGATGAACAAAACCAAAGATGCAATATGCAAAATATATGCAATGCAAATGCTTCCTACTGTGGTAAAATTGCACTTAGAATCTTAGCTTTTCTGTGCTTATTGCCACTACCTACAAAACAAGTGAAAAAAAATTTTCCTGAGCTAATCCCTGCCATGCATAGATGGTGCTGGCTGTTTGGAACAGCAGAAGAGAACAATTTCCAGCAGGGAAGACTTGGCAAATATGACATATCCTGCTATGGAGCAAGGGATCCATGGCAGATACACAGTTTCCTGCAGGTTCATGGAGGAAATGGCTTCTCAAATTGATACTCGGTAATTTTTATTGAACTCAAGTTTCTGAAAGAAACAGAAAAAGAAGGAAAAAAAATCTGAAAAGCTAAGCAGCATTTTGCCAAAAGATTGGGAAACCACGTGTGTGTACTGATTTATTTTGTTCCCTCTCAAAATCCTGTATGTGGAATATGCATGTTTTCTTTCTTTGCTCATTAAGCAAAAACACTACTCATTATTTTAACAGCTGACACCATCTGAGAAGGCCCTGACAGTCAGTCAATCCATAATGTCAGTCAACCAGAGGGAAAAAAATTCCATGGGGGTTAAAATGTAAGCAAATGTATTTTCTGGCAAGTGAATGCTGTACAAAACTGAATTACTGTTGTATTGGCAGGGCCCCAATTTTGTATTCATTTGAAGGACCTGAAGGCTACCAAAAGAGTGTAAATGATAGACAAAGACAACTGGAATTCAACATTTTTTAAATGATGGTTACTTAACCATTGAGTTCTACATGGTAAGTAAATCTTGATTCTCCAAATATTCCTTTACCTTTTCCTTCCCTGATCGTAACATAGGTACCAGCTCTTTAGCCTTACTTTTCAATGAACTATGCCTCTTTAAAAAAAAAAAAAATCCATGCTCGATAATTTCTAACCAAATCCTCACTCTTGCTCTCCTCATTTTGTATCTATATGCTTGCATAATATCCTCAGAATTATGTTTGTGGGGGCAGATAAGAGCATTGCTTCGTACAATGGCTGGTTGCCTGAAGGGAATGTGGCACTGTTCATTCAGTAATATTAAAGATTATGATAAATGTAAAGGAAGAAAAGGAAATTCAAATATAAAGACAGTATCCATTACCTAAACTTTCCATAAGTGGGCCTAACTTCTACTCTATATGACACAATGGTCAGGTTTCGATTAAAAATGAAAACAAAAACATGAAAATTATCATTTGGGTCCCAATACCCAGTTTTCTTTGGCATAACTATGTAGTTATATAAAATCATTTAAACTGGTAGCACCAGCTAGGTCTTTTCCTTTGCATAATTCACTGTATGTATTGTGCTTTCTGTACGTGTATGTGAATATATTTAAGCTGGGTTGCATAGCCATAGACTAATAGAATAATTGTGTCATCTAAAAACCAGAGTATATGCCTTTGTTTTTGTTTGAACTTCACTGATTTCCCACTAATAAACACACCGAATGGCTACAAATTTGACCTATAAGAAAGACTTTTATTTGTGAAAACAGCATTAAAGTTACTGCATACCAACTCCAGAATTATAGCACAAAGGTTCAGTTTACATGAAACAATGATGGAAATATACATTGCCAAGTCTTAGGCAGGAGAACAGAATTCACTACGATTTTCAAATGTTTCCATGAGCAATATCCACTGTACAACACGGCTTTCTAAGATTGTTAACCAGGTCTAGTGAGTTGCCAACCAAGAGAAATACACAGGAATTTTAAAACAGTAATATCTTTCTAAAGCTAATTAAAAAGTAATGATTCATTACATATTTGCATTTATCTCTCTGAAGTTCTCATTCATGAAGCTTTTGAATTAAAAAAGCAATTTGTCATTTTTACTTTATTATTGAATCTCATGAATCTATTTCTATTAGATGGTGTGTACAAAAGTAAAATAAGTGGAGAACTGCGCAATTTTCTCTTTCTTCTGGGCTTTATAAGAGGTGATCTTGTAATTAACAAAGAAAAGCCCAAAATATTCTAGTGTCTCAGAGCTCCTCTTTATTTTTCCTCTATAGACCTAGAAACAAGAAGTTAATTTTAAAACATTTTAAATATCATCATCAATTTCCTTCCTTCAATTTCATACTCATAAATGCAATCATATCAACTAATGGAAACTAAACAATAAATGAATAAATAAATAAAATATCAAAATCACATTATGGGTTAAAATGTACTATTAAATTTACTTGACCCTTCTGTTTTCAATTTAACAAAGGACAGATCCTCAGCAAATCTTAAATTGAACGTTAACAATTACAAGATGAACTTATTATATACCTTCAATTATTCCCAGTAAGATACATGACAAGCAGGATATTTTAACTCATCCCATCTGACCATAGTAACTAATTTAATGAGCACTGGAAATGAAGTGAATCCTTGATTTGGTGCCATTTTCCTACATGAAAGAGGGCCTGAGGTCTACTCTTGTACTCAAGTTTCATAACTCAATTTCCTGATGTATGTGCTGTGATTCACAGACCTTTACTTGAAAAGTACTTATATATGTGACCTATACTGTTTACACTTTCAGCTTAGCTGTGTGCAGATGTGAGGGCAAAAAAATCTAAATTTGTACTTTCTATGATCCTTTCTATCTTTATTTGTCTTAAGTGTCTTAATAAATATTATTGGCCAACTCCATGCATGTATATTCTCTGCTCTTAAATTATTCACAATGCATTTGTTTCATTTTCCTTGAACACAGTAACTGTGCATAATGATAGACTGATAAATTAGGTCTTCTTGAAGAGAAGTAAATAAAAATCACAATTCACCCCATAAATAGGTAACTAACTTGAGATCAGTCATGTTGGCCATGAAATACAGAAGTCCCAAAGTTTGTCTTGAAAGCTGAGTAGATAGTTCAGACTGACTAGCAATATTTGCTTATGTGAAGTTACATCAGATTCCAACCAATTAATGAGAGTGGGCCAAAATCAAAGCATGTCACTGTTGGCATTGTCTCACTTTTCTCCAAAGGGGCTGACAGTGGGAACAAAAACAGATTGCAAAGATGTTTGTGCAGAAAGCATCTTTTAAGAGATTTGCAGTTAGGTTGGATATAAACAGTATTCTAAAGCTATGTATCTTACCGTCAAATCTGAGCAATATGATCAGTTTTTTTACTGTTTTATTTCTTCTAAAAATAATGGAAATATAGATATATTTAACAAACTGTGGTTTCAGAAATACCATTGTAGCAAATAATTTTATTAATACTTTCATAAAAATGGCATTTAATAAATTCTAATACCTGGATGTAATTAAAAGCAAACAAAAGTCATTAAAACAGTTCCTTTTTGTCATTTACATTAGCTCTTACAGCATTACTTGATTTTTGTTTTACAAACTAACCTAAAATACTAAAAGTCAAATCAGGGTAAAAACAATACAATGCTTTTTCTTTACTTTATTTCAAAATAGTGATTATAAATACATTCTTAATATATTTTTCTCCCCAATTCTTTGGATGCGACAACAATAACAACAACAGCAACAACAACAAAAAAAACTTCACTGTGCTCATTTCAGACAATGTCAATATAAAACTCATGCAAATGATATAATTTTTCACCATATGTTTCTAGATGTGTTCTGCTAAATCTGAAATACCTGTTGATATTACTCATGAGGCCATGCCCTGTATAAATTATGCATATTTATGACTTATAAAATTAAATGTTTTTTTTTTAAAAGCAACAAAAGAAAGATGGTATTAAATGACTTTCTAATTAATATATTTATTCACTTTATTATTCACAATGGAAAACTAAATATAGAATATAAATTGCCTTATAGACTTCAATCACTGTACTTTAATAGCTGCTTTCTCATAAAATTACACAAAGATTTACTTTAAAGAATTCAATCATCTTTATTGATCTCATAGAAAAATAATGTAAAACTTGATTTATATTACACAGACACAATATATTATCTCAACCCCTTCACTGATTTTATAATATCTAGTTTCCTTTGCCACCGCTCTAACACAGTTCATAGACATGAATACAATGCCAAGAAGCCGATCACGTGTCAGACCACGTTAGAAATTAGTACTTCTTGGATTTTCAAGATTTGAATCAAAGCTCTACTAAAAATGCTGTACCAACGTACAAGTCATACCTCAAGGGGTTAAACTAATATCAAGGTTAAAATTGAAGCCAAAAAAATGTAGATACAGCATTTTATCTGTTCTTGTACTCAACTCAGAACTTATGCCTAACTCTACACTATCATAAAATGTACAAGTAGAACTAATGAGAGACTGGTGCAAAATAGTATACACTGTATAATGTAGGCACAATGACTTTAGTTAAGGAAAGTATATCAGCCTTAACCGAGAATTTGTTATTTAATTTACAATTAGAACCTCCAAATAACCACATACGTTAAATTACTTTTTCCTAAAAATTTTGCACATTTATACCTTTCAGCAGAAGAAGATGAGATAGCCAATATACTACAGCAAGCTTTGAGATGGTGGCAAGTACTCTTGCCATTGACAATTCTATAGAAGTCTTGAAACATCTTCAAAGCATCACCACACTGAATAAAAGGCATAATCCCAATGACCTATCATTCCCAGATCATGGATGGAGCTTTCTGCTTCCTCCCATAAATGTCTCCTTAAGATTCCTAAATCCATACTTTATTGACAGGATAAACTAAAACATTTCCTTTGAAGCCTTTGCATCTTTATCCTGTCAGTATGCATTAGGAGCCCTTTAATCCATGGATGCTTGCATGCATGGTAATGGCATATTAAAAGTCTTTATGAAATTGCAGATGAACACAAGCTGTTGAGCACACATCTTGTCTTTTCTTTTGAGATCAGAAAGCAAATATTTGTTTAGATTTTTGTATTCATATAAAGTATTCACAGACATTGTCATGAAAATTAAAACTACACATTAAAGTTTTAAGAGCACCAACACATACATATGGAGATTTTTTTCTATTTAAAAAATCTCCAAATTATCTATATGTATGAATACATACTCAAATCCACACACAAACTCACACACACACACTTGCAATAATACTACGTTTTATTTTTAATCTTGAAACAAACACACAGCCCTGAAATTAGTGCTTGATAGACTAATTGCTGTTACAGCTTTAACCACATCATTTTTGAAGCTTCACAAAAACATCTGCCACTTGAAATTCATGAAGAATGTCTATGCTTACCTTCTCAGTTATTTAACTGATTAATACAGTGATCTATAAGAGATGGATATTACACACACACACGCACACACACGCACACACACACATGCACACACACAGACTGGCCAAGAAGGCAATGCATTTCTGGACATCAATTTAATAATTGAGAGCTCCTAAAAATCTTTAAATATCACCAGTTATCAAATGATTCATTTCTTTGACCAGTTTTGACTTAGAACTTAATAGCACAAGCAAACATAGGGGCATATCATTTGTAGTTGCAGACTGGGAGCTCATCTGATACCAATGCAAGCGTTTTACAGTGTGGCTTTGATAGATAGCCAAGATTACCATGATGTTTACAGTTCTACTAGATTATCTGATAGTAGTCAGAATGATGAAAGAACAGGATACTGATGCATATAAGATACTATTTACCTTAGTCATTATTTTTTAATATTTGTAGTGAAAACTATTTGAATTAAGCTCATAGAGTCCTGGAAAGCAAGACAACTGACAGCAAATAACAACTGCCCCAGACACAATACTATAAAACTAAGGAACCTATTTTAAAATGCACAATTGGTAACAAATCTGAAGATAATATGCTAAATTCACAAGAATAGCACAGAATTATTTTTTTGGTATTTTTCTTTCTTTTTGTTTGTTTTTTGCTTTTTCTGTTTTTAATTTATACCTGATCACAAAGTCCAAAATATTTCTGTACACATTAGCTTCAGTTTCAGTTCAGTATATTTTTCTATCTAAATTTATACTTACTGATAAATTCACTGTGATCAGGAAAGCAAGTCAAGCATATTAAATACATATTAAGGAGTACATATCTTCTTATTTAGTATACAAAGTACTTCATAAATATGAATTATATTACAAAAATAGCTTTGGGTGCGCTCACACGGTAAGCACTTTGCTAAGTTTGGACAACCTTTAAGGATTGTGGGTATTTCACATAACTGAGAACAAACTCTAATGTCAGTTGAATTTGAGTCATGTTTAATTCGGATAAACATATTTCTTCAGATCACCACAAATGCTATATAACTCACACTGATTGTTTTCTCTTTTAGATTTTTATGTATAGACAGATAATGCTTAAAGTGTTCAGATTTAATTTATAGTTACATAATGCATGGTATATTTTAAACAATATTTGCACAATTTAACATTATAAATCCAGCGATTTCAAGATGCAGGCCATTGAGGTTACCGATTTACACATACTGTCGAATGTTCTCTCTTTGCATGCTTTTTTGTTTTTTTACACTTTTCAGATAATCTTTACAGAGAGTTGTTACAATGCCACAAATCAAAAGGATTATTCCAGTTCTACCAGCTTAATCTACGTGCAAGATGAAGGACCCAGCTGAAGTACCAACACTGGTACCAGTTTTCTTGAGTTTGCTTTATGAAGCACAAAGAGACGTAGTTTTGTATTGGTGTACAAAACAGATCTGCCTCTTGAGGTTAAATTCAGTGTACTATGTATATAAGCATCCCTTTGGCGACAGAGTTTGCAGTATCCCCACAGGACTCCACAGTATAGGTTTTCTGTAGTAAAATCTATTAAGGAAATTCTCTTCTACTTGACACATCTTTGCAACTAGAGTTAATGATACACCTTGGAAACACCTGCCTCTATGCCTATTGATAACATAGTATTTGGAAGTTAGAAGTCAACAAAAGGCACTTTCATCATTAAATAAATGTCCTCTGTGTGAAGCCAGATTGAATGACCTATATCTTGTTCAAAGCTGTTTGCTCCTCAAGGACTTGTAGGTAGTCAGGAGTACTCTGAAGTTTGGACTTCAGTTCAAAATATTCGCCCTTCCTTTGCTCCACAACAATTTTACTATGATTGCCACCGATCAGTGACTTCTTGTTTTTTTTATCTTGCTGTTTTTCTGGATAGCGGATCTCGAAGCCGCTGACACCTATGCTATTGTACTCCTTTTTGCTTTCAAGAAAATTTTGGATAAACACATTGGAATCTCTGCTAGGGAATAATTCATCCAGTTCATCGATTGTGCTCAGTCTCTTCCTGGTATCCACATGCAATAAATCTTTGTCCTTGTCAGCAACATTTCTCAGAATGACTTTCTGTCCAGGGGGATCTGAAAACATGAACGCAGTGTCTGACTCTTTCAAGCCACAGGTGTGACTCTTGCTCATCTGTTCTATGGTTTGTGGAATAAAAGCTTCTGTGCTCAGGCCGTCTTTTTTATTGGTTTTGTGGTCATGCTTCCGTAGCTGCAGCTGCATCGAGCCACATTCAGGATTCCCCAGGCCTTCGTGCTTCACCGTGGGTTTCTTGTTGCGTCGCAGCACAAAAACAAGAAGGCAAAAAGCAACAAAGACTGTTAAAATGAGGACCACTAAGATACTTAAGATTAAAATAGATAGAGGCACTGGGCCACCAGGAGGACTTCGAATGGGTCCCAAAGGGGTGGTGAATGCAATGGCAGGTGCAGGGCTTGTGAATGGCGCAGATGGCTTGTTTAAAAGTTTGGGACACAAGATTTCATTTTTGAGGGACTTCAGTTCGATGTTGGCAAACTGAACAGGTGTTTCACATTTGAGTTCTTTCACAACAATCCCGTCGTTTAACTTCTCCAGCCACAGTTTTAATGCCACTAAGTCACAAGTGCAGTCCCATGGGTTGCCCTCCAAGTCAATCTGTGTCAGAGACTGCAGCTGATCAAGCACCCCACTGACAGGAAGGTACATGAATTTGTTGTTCCTCAGGTTTAGTCTAGCTAGGGGTGCTCCAGAAAAAATGTAAACAGGTAGGCTTTTTAGGAGATTATTGTTTAAGTACAATAACTGCAAATTGGGCATGGAGTCAAAAGTACCTGCTAAGATTTCCTTAATCAAATTGTATTCCAAATACAGATACTGCAGGTTATGAAGGCCTGAAAAGATTTCAGGATAGAGTCTCTCGATCTGATTGCCATTGAGATAGAGCCTGCGTAAATTAGTAAGATTGTGAAAAACATCTCCCTTGATCACTGTAATCTGATTGCTGCCTAAGTGGAGCAAATCCAGTCCTTCAAACTCAGCGAAGTCTGAGATGTCCACATCTTTGATGCTGTTGCCATTGACGTGCAATTTCTTTGCATTTAAAGGTTTTGGTATGAGTTCAGACATGGATTGTATGTTTTTCTCCTGGCAGTTCACACTCAGTCCCAAATCTGAAGGATGTGTTTTGCAAAAGCAAGGCGCTGGGCAGGGTGTGAGAGGAGGCACCCTTGTTTGATAAGATACAATCTGACTGAGATTGCGGTTGGAGAGGGCTTTGCCAGCCACGATTCCAGAGATCTTAGAAGGATTTGTTGTTTTTGGTGGTTTAGTCACTAATCTGTGCAAGGATGTTTGAGTAGTGTGACCATTGGGAGTTGTGTAACCATTTTCCAGCTGAGAAGGAGGCAAAATACGGACATCAAAATCACTGCCTGTGCCCATGGGGCATAATTCTTGTTTGTTGGTTTCTTTTAAAAGCCTTCCATATAAGTCACTGGGAGTTTCACAGATAGCTTCACCTATGTAAATATTATATGGCATATTCTCCAGCCACGCTTTTAAAGGCAACAAATCACAGCTACAGTTCCAAGGGTTATCTTCCAGTTGCAATTCGACTACACGGCCAATGTGTTCCAGAACTCCAATGTAGGGGAGCTTCTGGATTCTGTTCCCTCGTATATCCAGATGGGTCAAAGATGCGAATCGGAAAATATTATCGGGAAGGAATGAAATCAGATTGTCATTAAGAATGAGAACTTTCAGTTTGTGGAGCTTATTGAAGGCTCCTCGTTCAATATACTTGATTAAATTGTAGTCAGCCTGGAGATACTCCAAGTTCTCTATGCCAAGGAAAGTGTCAGCTCGGAGAATCTTTAATTCATTGTTGTTCAAGTGCAACTGCTTTAGTGCACTAAGCCCCAGAAAGGCCCCTCCCTCAATGTTCTGCAGTTTATTATTTCCCAGATGCAGGGAGACTGCATGTGAAAAATTCAAGAATGTATTTGGATAGAGGATATTTAAAAAATTGTTTTGGAAATTAAGGTGATAAAAATTAGACCAAGGTGGTTTCAGCTGATTTGGCCTGTATACTGAAACTTTCTCACAGTTGACATAGAGCACATTCTCCACTGACACGCAGGAGCAAACATTGCAAATTTCCACTGAGATGTCAGAATCTGCATTTGTCGAAGAAATCAGGGCTGAGAAAATCAGAAAGAGCCAAAGAAACATCTTCTTGCAATCGGCAAACAACTTTATGCTTCTTAATAAAGAGAAATAATCTAAAAAATAAAAAGAAAACAGTTTTTCAATGGTGATGACTTGAAAAATTATTAGGGTTTAAATCACATCATAATGAACACACGGCTATAATTACCAGCACTGCATTTTTAATGCACCCACAACTCCAAAAATTTGTAATCAATCAAACAATAACCACAAAAATGCCACTCACTTTATTTTCAAACCTACAGATTATACAAAATTTACATATGCAAAATATGTAACAAACAATAAGAAAAGAGATTATTAATCATGCTTGAACCTTAACAACATGAATTATTTTTCACTTGGATCACCAAACTCTGCCCTTGAACTCAGGCCTTAAAGCTTCCCGTTTGCAGCTCAAATGACTACCGAGGAGACCACCAAATATGCCCTGTCATTTGCACCACAAAGGCATTACAATTAGAGGACTTCTATTCTTCAGGCTTCAGCTGGATAAAGAGGCTGAGTAAAGACCATACAGGAGCCCAGGCTCCAGTGGAGGATGGCAATGGCAAGACTGTGTAGCTGCACAGGAGACAGTTAACAGATCATTGCGGAAGGTGCCCTGGGTAGAGCTTCAGCCCATTGGTAAGCACCTAGTCGTTAATCTGTTCACTCCTGTGCTGCCTTCAAAAGCACAGGTGACCCTCGAGGAGGGGGTTAGAAAAACAAATGAATAGAGGATAGCCCAATTTTATTTTCAATGAAATAACAGTAGGTATCTAGTCTTTTGCCAGTCAACTCCCAAATAGGGGTTGAGGGAACCTTCTGGCTTTGGGTCCCTGAAGGCAGGAGAAGAATTGCTTACTCCTGCATCGATTACCTGATCTCCAGGCAGCCTTTTTACCCATAGAACTGTCTCTCCTGCCTTTGCAGTCCTCTCTCATTCTTTTATTAGCTACTTCGAACCTAGGTGCAATAGACTCTTGGCTCAAATCCTTATCTCCTTCACTCGGACGACAGACTGCCACTGCTGAGGAAAAGGACTTTACACACCATGATCTTTGAGTAGCTTTCTCTGCAAAGCCAGATACATTCAGTAGAAACACATTTTCATACACAAATCATCAGTTCTCAAACATCTTTCCAATATCACCAGCCCATGTAAACAAATAAAAGTCACTTCTTGGTGGACTTTAATGCTTAGTAAATTAGTCTACTGCCACCCAGTCCTTATGTACCGCAAATATTCAAAAATACACATATGCAAATATAGCGTTTCTGCTTCTTGGAAAAGAATAATAGGTATACAAACACTGTGCATTCTATTGATGAAATTTTAGGCATGTGAATCTTTCCCATTGTGAATGGGATGCTGACTGCAATTTCAATATGGTTACCAGCAAATATTAATTAAATAAATAAAATATCCAGGAACACACAATGAGAGAAAGATGCAAAGAAAGAAGTGTCACAGAAACTCCTTTGTTTATTTTGCTCATGAGGAATCAGCTACTGGCAAAATGGAACATGTCTCAAGGTAGGCAATCCATTAGCCACAAGCAGTAAGATTTGCATCTTAAGTAGTTCAGTTCAGAATATGGTCAGTACTGCTGACACACTATTTGGCTGCCATATAGACATGCATTTCCCCTATTCACCAGGACAGAACGATTTGCATTGCAAAAAGAAGTCATAATTCTTAAACATGACATCATCAAACCAACTTTAATTGTAAAAATCAAAATTTCCCTTCATTTCTTTTGCCTTGTTCATGTGATTTTCAAGTTATTTTGGTTCTGTTGAGTCATTTCTTGCTACGAACTACCAACCTCCACGCTCACTCTAAAATGAGAATATCAAAAAGCAACCTAGCTAAAAGCAAACAAACAAAATTCCAATAACCTGAATTCAGTACAAAATCAAGAACTAGAACATTAACAGATCTTCAAATGCAGAAGGAGTTGATCTCCTAGTAATTTCTACTTCAAGTAGCCAAGGGGAAAGAGAAGGCAAGGACGACCTAGCTAGGAAGTTCCCAAATGCAGCTCTTGTAAAACAGAGGAAGCCTACAGCAGCTGGGGGAGCAGCAGGCAAAGAAGAGGGAGAGTTGGTCCGCCAAAGGAGAGAGGGAAGGAGGCTCGGAAAGGGCAAGAGGCACGGAGAAGTGCGGAATGGAAGAGAAATATCTCTGAGAAGGCAACCAGAAGGAGAGTAAAAGGGGTAATTCATGTAAACGAAAGAAATCACACGTTCATATAGGTCTCCATTAAAACATGCACTTCAAAATCATGATATAAAGGCAAAAGAAAAAAAAAAACATACAAAGTACGTGTTGGGTAGCAAGACCCTTCTTTAAGGCTTCCCAGCTTAGTATGTCTCCCTGTCTTTCCGTCTCAGCGTCAGCAAAAAGCTCAGCTCCCACGGCCCGCCGGAACTGCACAAACCTAGCACTGCCACAAATCCCGGCATCCAGCTCAGTGCCGCGCCTGGAGCTCCGCGCTTCGGAAGAGGGAGCTGCCTGCGGGGACAGACCAGCACAGGGGCGTCCGTGGGTCGAGGTGGCTCCGCAGGTGCTGACGTGGGAAACCTCGGACAGCACTCTAGGACTACGATGGGGGAGGAGAGGGTCGGCCGAGAGACCCGGCCACTGCCGCCCCTTGTGCGCTACCTCGGGCCGGCGGAGACGCGGTTGGAGGGGCTGCAGGAGCTAGCGCGTACTGCAATGTTTTGCCGCATCCGGATGCTGGAAGCCGTCTCGCAGCCCCCTCCCGGGTACCCTGGCCGAGCTGCAGCCTAGTGGGCAGAGCGGTGGAGGCAGGGTACTGTGCGAGATGTCGCGGGGGCCTTCAGCCCCGCTGCTCACACATTTCTCCTCGCGCTCGCGTCCCACAATGGGGAGCCGCTGGAGTTTCCGTCGGCCTTTTCAGCTCTCGCCGCCCTTCGGGGGGAGAGAGCGAGCTAGCTCAGGCCGCGAGGGGATTGCCACTGGGGATGTCACTGAGCCGTGTGCCACAGGCAGAGTGACCCCTGGCTCCATGGCCAGAAGCAGCGCCCAGGGCTTCCCTTGCCCACATCTCCTCCCCTGGCCAGCTACTCTTGCTTCCCAAGCTAGAAATCAGCTCAAAATGTAGGCACCTTGCAAAGTCGGGTTGCTAGCAGGGCTTGCAAAGTCCCGGCTTTGCAGGGCTGGCAGTTACCCACCGGCGCTTCCTCTTGTATTGCCCATCTCGCCGAGTGCCAGCAATCTCTGGCAAGCCCGCTGGAACCCTACATCCACGTCCACGCAGAGTGACTGTGAGTAGAGCGCAGAAAACAAAGCGCAGCCCAAATCAGCGGCCCCAACAGCCCAGGCTGGGAGTACAGGACACTTTCTCAGTCGCCTCCGCCGCCCAGGGGGCAGGGATGCCGAGGACACCCAGATTCTTTTGGTCTTCAGGGACACGCGAACGCGCTGTGGGCTGGCAAGTGGGAGGTGTGAGAGTGCGTGCGTGTGTGTGTGTGTGTGTGTGTTTGTGTGTGTGTGTGAGGGGGTTGTTAGCCAACACGTCCACTTTGTCCACTCAGTCGGCCCCTAAGCAACACGACTCAAACTAAAAATAATAAGCTACCTGCTTCCCTTCGCGCGCGCGCACCCACGATGCCGAACCCAGCCGGGAAGAGGTAGCGCGCCTGTCGGTGCAGCTCGCGCGGCCCCCGCTGGAAATTCACCCACCTCTGAAGCCCGGGGTCTTGTGCAGGGCCTGCCCCGCCACAACCCGCGTTGCAGTTTTCGCGATGATCTCTACGTAGTCCAGGATGGAGCTTTTCAACGTCGGCTGCTCGCCCGTCAAACCCACCGAACAACCCTAGCAGGCGAGCTGGAGGGCAGCGGCGCGCGCGCGCACCCGGCCAGACACCGCGCGCGCACCCGGACCCTCGCACAAGGGCTGCACCTTTACATATACGCGCCGAATCCCCGCCCCCGCCCCCGCCCCCTGGTACACAGGCAGTCTTCCCTTCCGACACCCAAGCGCTCCAATCCCCCCACATTCCTGAGCCCTTAGTCCCCCATCCAGACACCCCCACTTAATTCCGCTTCTACCCACACACCCAGAAAAACAAGACGCTTTCCTCCTGGAGTCCGCCCCCACTTTTGCCTAAACCACCCCCTGGGAGGAGCGACCCTTATCCTCAGGCAGAGACCCCACTTCCCCCTTGCTGGTTTACTGGCCTCCATCCCCCCACCACAGATGCACACTCGAGTACTTTCTCCTCCCCCAGCCCCCTAAAAACGAAGGAACACACACACACACACACACACACACACCCGGGGCGTTCGCTGAGACAGCAACCGAGAACCCTGGAAAAGCCAAAGAAACACTGGAGAACCTGGAGGGAGGGGAACTTAAGAGATACAGGGTCGTTGAGTCTACGCGGAATTGAGTAATTCCAGGACCGAGGGGGGTGAGTCAACAATGACATTCAAATGCTACACTTGCACTTGGATTTTGTATCATGGGTACGGTACCTTTGGCTAATTGTCCGCCCGAAGCACAGAGCGCTCCCGCAATACTTCTAGGTAGCGGGTCATCCTGGATGGAGTCTTCTTGGAACCAGTTTCTTGGGATCCGGCAGTAGTATTCGCACTCCCCCTACTTGTCTGCCCGAAATGGGCTGGGGGTTTAAGGCAAAAGTGTAAGGCTTTAGCCCAAAGTGAGACTATTTGAAGGGGCTAGGAAAAGAAGGGTTAATTCTCCGCATTTTAGAACTATAGGAGCTCTTGGAGCAAAATTGGTTAAGCAGAGTGATAAAGGACCTGACAGTGGGGACAGGGGATAAGGATAAAGGAAAGAAGAAAGACGTGTGGGACTGGGAGAGATGCCGCACTTGCGACCAAAAGAAAAAAAAAAAAACCTGCTTTGGCTACTGAGCATGCCCAGTTCCTAGCTCAAGCCCTATAAGGGAGGCATTGTGTGCGTTCCACTTCTCCGGGCTTTGGTGGTGACCCGGACGGGACTTTGATTGGGGGGTGGGCGTGGATGTGAGATGTTCGGGAATGGGGGTCGGGGAGTCAAAATTTGAGGCTCTGGGGCTGTGCTGTCGGGACTGTAAAGAAGAAAAGAGGGAGGACTCACAGGATAATCTAAGGAGCAAGGGGAGGAAATGGACTAAGAAAAGTCACTTCTGTAGCCCCTCAGGATCAGTGTCAGAGATGTTAGCGCTGCTTCACAAATAATTTGAGGCTGCAGCCTACAGGATGGATTATCTTGGGGCCTTGTACCCATTTTTAGTGTTTCCACGGAGAGGGGGGAAGTCCTGAGGAAGAGCTAATGTTCAAACCAATTTAACAAAGATCGGTAATTTGGTTAACAAGCTTAGGGGGAAGGGTGGCAATAGAATTTTGCTATCTTGCTTGCCTTTCAAGTACAGGGCTTTCCTGAACAACAAAAAAAAATCTAAACGTTCCTTCTGATCCCTTCCCCCAGACTTGTTTTTGTAGGGGCTGGCTAAGGAAAATAACTCTTTCTTTGCTTTGTGTCTGTAGGAATAAACTGGGTTTAGGTAAATGGTGTAAGTATTGCCCTTAGACTCCTGGTAGCCCATTCTTTGCCACACTTCAGGAAATACTTCCCAGACCAATTCTTGGAGGCCTGCATCTGTCCGGTTCATTTATCGGATTCCAGGTGGCTCTAGGCACAGTAGGGTATAGGTGGTATCCAAAAATTATTTGCTTAAAAATAAAATGTCTTGCAGTTAAAACTCCCAAGAGCTTTGAAACCAGAATTTGGCTGTCTGCCTGAACTCCTACAGTTAAACATTTACAATAATTTGTTGTTTTGGAACGCCCCACGTCTATGCAAAAAAATCCCATGGGCAAAGGATTTATTGTTGTATTTGTCCATAATGTTCTACCTTCTACATTATCTGTGGTATCTATTCATGGAGGTTTTCATTCTTTTTAGCATTTGTTATTTCGTGAGGCTGCCTTCAGGTTATTATTCTTGAAAATGTTGATTGGGCACAGCATGTGTACAAAGATGTGCATATAATCTTTATATTTAACTAGATATGCATATATAGATATATTTCTTTATGACCTTGGTAAATAGTGTATCCTTTCAAACAACTCTTCCTCCACTCCGACTCTGTACTGCTTTGAAAAATTTCATCTTCTCTTGAAAAAACAACCTAGGGGCAGAAACTGAGTGGGCAGCAATGGTAAAATTTGCTATAGTCAATGTGAAATCCATTATGAAATCACATTGCTTAAGGAAACACAGAAGGACCTATCCATAACAACCTAGGTATGTGTGTCTCAGTAAGGTGAAATGTATTTTCTCCATAAGTAACAGGTGCAGTATATTGAAAAATCTCCTCACTATTGTACATATGAACAAAATAGATCCTGCTCATTAAGAGCTCACATTTGCATTATATTGCATAATGCAATTTGAAGGTGGTAATGGGTTCTAAAACAAGTTGGCATTTATTGTAAATGCAAAGGATTCAGGATGCTACAATATTTTTTATTAGGATAGGTGAATTGTTTGTCCTCTACTATAAATGTTAACAAGATTCAATAGAATGAGCAAAATAGTTTTACCTGAAAATATAATGTATTTTCTAAGTACTGTAATAGCTGAAAAGGCCAGATTTGAACAGTAAATATCAGATGATTTAAATGCCTCTCTTTATTCAACTTTAGAAACTGTTCTGAGACTCAGCCGAATTCAATACCAGTAAGTGTGGAATGCTCTTTTTAATAAGCATGTGGTGAGAGATATCTGAAAGCAAGTGCAGCCAGAACACTAATAAATTAATAACAATGCTAAGAATTGTTTAGTGATTAATATTCAACTCACTAAAATGAATTCTTTAAACATATTTTGCTGCTTTAAAAAGACTAAGTGCGTACATAAAATAGAAGTCATAACTTTCACATTTTATGTGTTTTTTGCTTTCCAAAGTAATATGAAAACCTAATCATTGATATCTGCAGTCTCTTTTCAACTTCTTAGATCTATGCATGACATCAATATAGAATGATAGAAAGCTAAGAGGAATTTCTAGATAAATATGGAAATAAAGCTGTACATAAATGTGTTAAAATTATAGTTCCATTTTTTGTGATTGAGAGAAAAACAAAATAGATGGTTCTTAAAATATGTGACTGCAGAGAGGGTGAGTGCTGTACTAACTTCATAATGTTTTTCCAATATTCTCCTGAACTTAACTTTGGCTTTGCAAGCATACTTATGAATCGTAGGCTTCCTCTCATGCACTGTTACCACCCTCCTTTAGGACAAATTAACACTTGCATGGGAATGTTCATGAAGCTACTGAATATCCTTAATTCCAAAAGCCATTTTAGTCATGAAACACTACCAAATGGAAATGATTATCATGCCAACACATTTTGACCTTACTCCATGGTCGTTTACGTTCATAGTATCCCTCCTTTATTCTGCCATATCTTGCTGCAATTTGGCCTTTATTTTGGTATACAGGTGTCACAGATCACTGAGTTTAATACTGAACATTCATTTACCCACTGGCATTTTAACAATTATGAATGTGGCATTTGTCTAAATGGAAGACAAAAAACAGTTGTTACGTTTTTAATACATCTGGGTAGAGCCATTTCCATGATTAACTCTTAAAAATCCTTAGATACATGAGGCTAAACATTTTTTCTAATCCTTACACTTTGAGAAATGTGCACTGTCCATTTTTTATGGATTTTATTAAGTTTTAGAGCTGAAATAAAGCTTTCAAGCCCAAATCCAACCCACACAATTGTAGCTACTACCTGTTGAGTGTATCTTCTTAGGCACATTGCCTACTAATACTATTTTGTTTAGTTCTATGGTCAAGGGAGGATGCTCTTCTGTCCTTAAAAATGATATCAGAATTAGCTAAGAAATTTGTCCTGGTAACGATTTGATCCCAGGTCCATGAGGCCTTTCTGCTATTTCACAATTATTTTTTCACAGGAATTAGCAAACATTTAACTTTAAAAGCACAATAGATTTAAAAGCACTGAACATTTTTCCAAAGGAAAATATATGAGGTATAAATGTTTCCCAGTATTAAAGTCTCAATGCTTATCATAAGAATAAACCAATAAAAGATGTGAAAAACAGTTCACATCAATGATGCATGACTAGGTGTCTTAAATCAATTTTTTTTTCCTTTTCCTATAATAAGCTTATCTCTTCCGTCCTGGATTTTTAACTCTTATACCTGAGCTGATTCTGAATGTTTTTGCTACTGCCAAAGAGAACCATGTAAAAGAGTAGTATTCATCCAAAGACTTACTCTCAAATTAACAAAAGAATGATTATCAAATAGAATACTGCATGCATTGGAAAGTGTGAGCTCAGCCCATTATTTGCTTAGAACATAACACCTAACTTGAAAATCCATTCCCCACAAGACTTCTTTATAGTACAGCTAGTAATTTGTCCTTTTCAGAAACAAAGATATCAGTTATTAATATACTCCAGTCATTGCTTGAATATTCATTGCATATTTCATTCACAAATTATACTTAGTAATAAAAGAATGCATATCATGTTGAAAGATATTTATAATTTTTAACTTATAATAAGAACTTGTTAATTTGACTCACTAATTTTACCTAGATTGATGAAATATTGCCTTGCTAAGCCACAGTTGCTATCGCAGTAGTACTTCTCTTTAACTTAACTATTTTGTCTTTTTATTGTTTAACTTAGAGAAATCTCTTTTTCCTCACTGTCACAGATTAGGGCCCTGAAACAAGCTGAATTGCCCTCAGACAGCGCAAAGATAATAAAGATAGTG